ATTAGACCAAAAAAAAGATCACGCAATTTTATCCAAAATTGTATTATTTTTTATTTTTTATTATTTTTTGGTTCTTGACAATGGTTAGATATTAAATGATAAATCAGACTTTCAATGAAATTACGTAATGATAAACTATCTGATCTTCTTTAAAGACAATTAGGATTTCATTCGACTAGCAAACAATGACTGATAATGTATATGCGCGTATGAATTAAAGTCACGTTTTTTTTCATACGAGTAGTAAACAAAATATAAAATATTAATCTTATGACATTTGACGACGAATTATGACAATGACGATGACGATGATGTAATAAAATAAATGACAGTTAGCACCAATGTAGTTCTGTTTTGTTACAAATATGTGCTCCATATACACAGTAATATCAAGACAGTAACATAATGTAAGATGAGAGTAACAAAGTTATGCTACATTTATATAGATATGACAGTAACAAATGTCATGTAACCTGTTAGCTCCATGTTACATAACTGTTAAGTTACTGTATTGTAACAAATGTCATGTAACTAGCTAACTCTATGTTACGTAACTGTTATGCTTGGTGTTCAGTGGGGTTTTGGTTTAATGTTGCAGTTGCACAAAGTTATTGAATCTTTGTAAACTGTAACTTTGACCCAAAATTGGAACTAAAAATTCTGAAAAGATATAGTTCTAGATCATTTTCCCCCGTTTAGAAGGAGTTATTAGAAAGTATGTTATTTGCACTGCACGCTAGAAGGCGAACAGCTCCTAGTAGTTCTGACTAATTGTTTTTAAACCGTACTTCTACCGGGATAAAGCGTACGGGGGGATGCAGCTTCGCGTTACGTTGTTCTAAATGAGAATCGAGGACTTCCTTCGTTCGTTGTAAAAAGCAGAGTGTCCCTTTTGGAGTCACGCAAGGACTCGCGGTGCCTCAGAAAAATGTTGCCGCGTTGTGGAAGGGATACAAATTTTTTCTAAGTTTTCCGTGATTGGTTCGTTGGCGGAGATGGCCAAAAAAGTCGCCTCCCACGACTTCGGCAACGAGGGTAGCAAAAGGGTAGCCAGGTCGAGTACGGCCTGACCATGCCTTTGTAAGATCACGTACCGTCCGAGGGTATTTTTTATGGTCTTGTTTACCCAAACCTTCGCGAAAGTTCGGTTCCTTCGCACAAAGGCAAATAACATTTGGCGGCCAAATGCACACCGTGAGAAAACGGAGAAAGTCAAAATTCCCAGGATGGTACGAGGTCTCGTGAAGTTATAACTATGTACTCTAATTACTACACGCATTTTTCTTACGGACGTAACAAAGTAAAACGGTCTAAAATTAAGGAGGTGAGAGTTCATTTTGCTACGCGTATTCTTCCCATGAAAATACATGAAGACACTCCGCGGTCGCGTGGCATATTTTTCAAATGCTGAAAAGAAATCGAGGGAAACGAGGGTTCCCCTTCCTTTCTCGGATTCAACTCCAATTCGCCAGAACTTTTTGAAGTAAATCGGTGGTACCGAAGGTAGGGTCACTCCTAAGTTGTCGACGGCTCAGGTACAAAATCAATACTGCCGCACTTATTAATTTACTATTACTTAATTAAGATTATAATATGCAGTGTTCGCATCTATATTAATTTATATGAATATAGTTTATCCATGTGCGCAAGTATTGTTATAAAGATTGCATATAAAATGAATTTGATTGAATTTAATTTGTCTATAGTTAACATTTTTCAAAAAAGTTTCAATTATTATTAGTCAAAAGTTTGCATATAATGAATGAACAAATTTGTGGTCGCCTCAGGGTTCAGCAGCCTCGGTCACCGGGATCTAGGAAAATCGAAAATATTGAGCCCTGAAGGTCTAAATTCATTTCGGGTATCAACAAGGTAGCTACTGTTAGGTAGTTCACACTATCTTTCCGTACCGAAACCGTACCCCGGTAGCGGTGAAGTATGGCATTTGTAACCTAATAGTGTGTAATTTTATTCAAATAGATATTGTATATTCATAAGAACATTCATGTTTGTTAATTGCTACACTTCGTCGTAAGAGTTATAGACCGCTTTAGCATGACGTTTATATTTATTAAAACGCAACCGCATCGGTAAATTTGGTTGCGTCGCATTGTGTACAGCATTTTATTTGCATTAGTAAAAATTCCACTATTCAAAATAACAATGCATTGCATCTACGATATATATTAAACTTGCAGTAAGTACTACATTTTTTAATGACTTGAAGATAATGTTTTCAACTAATAAAAAATTGTTATTATGACGTTTTGACAATGCGTATTATTGTATGCTTTCGCTAAAATTAGTTAAAAATAAAAAGTAAATAATTTTGACGTCAGTATTTTTACGATGAAGGGCGTATTTTGGTGGAATTCAGTTTTCTAATAATGCAATAATAGGATGTTAGAATTAATGAATGTTATAGAAAATGGCGATGTACACATTGTTAGATTTTCTTCGGAAGAATAGCACCATATTAAATATGGACGTGTGAATTCATTTTGCAAACTTTTTTAAAATTTCAGATCAATCATTAATGAAAATGGACCTGAAAGATCCTTAAAATTGTTACTGAATTTACAAGTTCCGCTTTATCTCTTTTACGAAATATCATTATGAGTGACAGTAAAGTTTACGGGTCAAAATTTACAAGTCCTGTTTTTAAAAAGGGTTATACCCTCGCAATTATTTAACAGTATATTTAATTTCGTTATTTACTTTCAATACAATGTTGAAAATGCACAACACTTTTTAAAATTAAATTAAATTCATTCAGAAACGGTCAGATTTTTATTACTGATAATCCGATTATGGTAAAGAACAGAGTAGGTAAATCGTATTTTTAAGGTGAAGTGAAACATCCTTCAAATCAGTCGATTCGAACACAACACTTTTTTTTTAAGGGTATTAGACCAAACTGTCCGAAACTTTGACACGTCACTCCTGATCATCTAAGAATTGTCCTGACACATTCAAAATTTGGATTTTTCAAAAAAATTTTTTAACTCAGTCCAGACCAGAACCAAAATGGCGTCGAGCTCTCATATTTCGATCAATATACAATTATCGAAGGCTCTGATATGAGAATCGAAAGGGTCAGGACAATTTTACGACAATTTAGAACACTCTGGTAATCGATAAACTCGCATTTGAACGGGATAAAGGCAAAAAAAGTGTTGTATGCGCTTCTTTGCTAAAACGATGGTAATACGAGGTCTCGGAGTGAAAATTTAATTGACCTGGAAATCACAGATGGCGCAGGGGGTCCCTCCGCAGTCAATTAGGGCCCCAGAAGGCACGAATCCAGAGGATTTCTGGAGTTTTACTTCGATTTCTTTATAATTATTGTACGAAAACGACAGGTGGAATATGCCATTTGGGACAATACACAATATAATTCGACCCAGCTGTTAATATAAAAACGAACGTCGGCAACGTAGGCATTTAGAAAAATCTTCTTTATCGACGTTGATCAAGTTCCTCGACGTGTTTCACTTCATCTTAAAAGACTCACTCTCAGTGTTTTTCGCTTTTTAGTTTCAATACAATGTTTTTACTTTCAATACAATGTTAAAATGCACAACACTTTTTAAAATTAAATTAAATTAATTCAGAAACGGTCAGATTTTTATTACGGATAATCCGATTATGGTAAAGAACATAGAGTAGATGAATCGTATTTCTAAACGACTCAGTCTCAGTGTTTTTCATTGTTCACTTACCAATTATACGAAATATCAGACTTGTTTCTCGCACACTATCTTTAAAAAAATGTGGGAAATGTAGAAGCGTTAAAAGGTCGAACTAGCCAGGCCTCTTAAATTACAAAAATAATATGAAGAAAAATGTTAAATAATACCACATTATAAACAGATATAATGTCATTAAAGAAACACAAAGTTTAAAAAATAAATTCACGTTGTACACCTCGTACTCGATTTATAAATGAAGGAAACATTATCTTTTTATTTGTTTTAGGAATGTTACCATGTGGTTACTGGCGGTATACCCGAAACTACAGAAATCCTGAAACAAAGATTTGATTATATATTTTACACAGGCTCAACGACAGTTGGAAAAATAGTTCGTGATGCGGCTAATAAATTTCTAACGCCTGTCACTTTAGAACTGGGTGGCAAAAGGTAATCGTAGTTACAATCGAATTAAATTAACTGGAATAACATACTGTGTCGTTGGTTTAGGCGCAAACAAAATATTGCCGCGGTTATTAATTTAATTTAATCTTTAATTCAAAGTTTGATATATGTTGGTAATTTGATGTTTATATATATCAAATTTTTAATTATGCATATATATATGTATCCAGTGTATACATTGTTATGAATTTTTTGAACACACTCACAGCATAATACAATTTATTATAAGAGTAATTTATACATGTAGGTTCTGCACTGAGATCCAATCAGTTACAATGTTTGAAAAGGAATTTAAAAGAGCACTAGACTTATTCAATTCGACGGCTGCTTAAGGTGATACGATAATGGCGTCAAAGAGTTCCCGTTCATGAACCTTTCTCCAAACTGAGTACACAGAATCGATTAAAACTTTACAATGTAAATATGGAGGGTATGAAGAAGGTGTTGAAACTCATGAAATTTCAATTTAAAAAAAATTCGTTTTTAGATATTTTCAAAATTTTTTATGCAACATGAAATTTCGCCACTTTCAGGACCTACCTTAGGGTCTTCTTATTCATGTGGTAAAGTTTGAAACGATTCGGTATACCCAGTTCGAAAAAAAGTTTCATGAACTATTGACTCTTCAGATGACGTTAAAGAGGTCTCGTTTATGAAACGTTTCTCCAAACTGAGTATACAGAATCGATTAAAACTTTACAGTGTAAATATGGAGGGTATGAAGAAGGTGTTGAAACTCATGAAATTTCAATTTTTAAAAAATTCCTTTATAGATATTTTCAAAATTTGTTATAAATAAAATTAAATTCCATGAGTGTCAGGACCTTCCTTCCAGCCTTCATATTCACATTGTAAAGTTTGAAACGATTCGCCACACCCAGTTCGGAGAAAAGTTTCATGAACGATTGGCACTTTGGATGCCACTTTCACATCCCCTTAACGAATGGCGAATTTTGTCTTTTGTACCTTTTTTGCTGAGTTTAAACGGCCTTATGTGGTTACATTTTAAGAAAGGGAAGGGAGAATGGGAGTCCGGTCCATTGAGTATTAACCGAGAAATGATATCTAGGTCCAGCATCACCGTTAGAACTTTTACGTTGAAACCGCATAACACTTCCCATTTTAATTTTAAAATTTTGACCAGAGGGAAAAGAAAACAGAAAGAATGTTCTTCTCTTATTTTCAAGCTAATGAATTTTCAACTTCCTGAAGCTCCGAAAGCAAAAGCGATCTGCTCATCCTGGACTTCAAACTATTCGCTGATCTCCGAGGTTTTATTTCATGCGGTAATGAGCTTGCTTGTACAGATGTTAATTCTCTGTCAGTACAATTGTTTTCATTACGCCCTAGGACATTTTGCCTCCCAGAATTGCAACAATTTCCAAGGTTTACATCATGCGGTAATGAGCTTGCTTGTACAGATGTTAATTCTCTGTCAGTACAATTGTTTTCATTACGCCCTAGGACATTTTGCCCCCAGAATTGCAATAATTTACAAAATATTGATTACAAGGACTACGTGTAAAGCAGTAGAGTGTCATTTTTCAAATATGTTATCTATACCTCAGATACAAAGTTAATAATTCGATAAGAGAATATTCGACATATTTTAACCCGAATCATATGGTTTCTGTGAGACATTGCGTTCGTGTTTTTCAATTTCGTTAGCTTTACTTTGAATATCGTCATGGCGATTACCAAATTTTCTTCAATCTGTGGGACGAATGTCGGGACTCTCTAAGACCTGAAGCTTTTCTAAGGTTATATTAAAAGTGATATTAATTTTCATAAATTCATTACCAAAATTATACTTATACTGGACTATAACTTTTGGAATTATCGACTTCTAATTGAGAATGCAGAACTACATTGGTGCTGGTGCCAGTACATCCTGGTTTAATAAAAAGCAATTGGGTTCCAGAAATTGTGGTTTCTGGAACGTTATTGTCACACAACATTTTCAAGGTTTCGAATCCTGGAGTGACGAGTAACCAGCGCTAATTATCTTTTAGTCGGATCCATATGGTATATAAAACTTTAATGAATTTAGTGTTACAATCGCCGTGTTTCAATGCAATGGAATCATTGATGTTTTTGCTTAGACATCCCTTACATGTATGAATGTGATACTTTGGCTATGCTCTCTTAAAAAATAGGCTTTTCCTGTTCAAGTCCTGTTTTTCGATCTCACATCGATGGCGTCATTCTTATTGGACGGCTTCGACTTCTTCTATTCGTAATGGTTGCTAGACGACGCCTAGTCGGTAACCAGCTGTATCTTTTCTTTCTTCTTCTTGTACAGGCGAGTCGACGACGTTTTGATTGATTCAACGTTGCTAGACGACACCTAGTCGGTGACCAGCTGTATCTTTTCTTTCTTCTTCTTGTACAGAAGTCGACAACGTTTTGATTGATTGAACGTTGCTAGACGACGCCTAGTCGGTAACCAGCTGTATCTTTTCTTTCTTCTTCTTGTATAGGCGAGTCGACAACGTTTTGATTGATTGAACGTTGCTAGACGACACCTAGTCGCTAACCAGCTGTATCTTTTCTTTCTTCTTGTACAGACCAGTCGACAACGTTTTGATTGATCGAACGTTGCTAAACGACACCTAGTCGGTTACCAGCTGTATCTTTTCTTTCTTCTTCTTGTACAGACGAGTCGACAACGTTTTGATTCAACGTTGCTAGACGACACCTAGTCGGTGACCAGCTGTATCTTTTCTTTCTTCTTGTACAGGCGAGTCGACGATGTTTTGATTGATTGAACGTTGCTAGACGACACCTAGTCGGTAACCAGCTGTATCTTTTCTTTCTTCTTCTTGTACAGACGAGTCGACAACGTTTTGATTGATTGAACGTTGCTAGACGACACCTAGTCGGTAACCAGCTGTATCTTTTCTTTCTTCTTCTTGTACAGACAAGTCGACAACGTTTTGATGGTGACCGGCTGTATTTTCGTTTCCTGGTACAGGTGAAGCGACAACATTCTGTGGTTGCGCGGCTGTACTTCCTTCTTCTGGTACAATCGAGCCAGCGATATCTCGTCAAGGTTCGGCTATATCTCAGCATTAATCATCAGCATTAATTCGGCGAGTTGCATGAAACCGCATCCGCGTTTGTATTTATACTACCTTGTTTGTATATGATTTCGTGTTCAATTTCACTTAAGGGGTTACACCACTTTGACCCACCCAAAAATTACGGTTTTTCCAGAATTTTTTTCTACGAATTAAAACGTTTTTATCCAAATTAAAGTACAGTAAGGTATTATACTACTACTAAACAACAAAATATTTTTTTGTATTTTTTTTATTTACAAAAATGGCGGTTTGAAAGGCGATTTACCGGAGCGCTGCGAAAATCGATGATCGTGCGGTGGGCACGATAACAGTCCAGGTTTAAGCTAGAACAATGAACGAAAAAGAATTAGTTTCTGTAGCCCAAAAGCTAGCGAAATACGTAGCTGTTTTCAAAAATATACATTCTTCACAAAATGACATCGATTTGAAAGGAAAGATATGTATTTTGCCCTAAATTTCATTAATTCATATTCCATAAAAAACGTGAATGTCAATACGTTGAAAAATACCATACGTATTTCGCTAGATAAACATATCACGAATAAAATAAAAAAAGGAATCAAGACGATTGATTGAAAATTGGCGGAGCTAGAGTGCTCACCGATTTTTAAAATGCCGTTTTAAGAAAAACGCGTTTAAACCTGGACTGAGTTATTGTGTCCACCGCACGATCATCGAATTTCGCAGCGCTCCGGTAAATCGCCTTTCAAGTCGCCATTTTTCTAAATAAAAGAAATACAAAAAAAAATATTTTATTGCTTAATAGTAGTATAATACCTTACTGTACTTTAATTTGGATAAACACGTTTTAATTCTTAAAAAAAAAATTCTTGAAAAACCGTAATTTTTGGGTGGGTCAAAGTGGTGTAACCCCTTAAGGTGAAGTGAAACACGTCGAGGAACTTAGTCAACGTCGATAAAGAAGATATTTCTAAATGCCTACGTTGCCGACGTTCGTTTTTATATTGACAGCTGGATCGAATTATATTGGATATTGTACCAAATGGCGTACACCATATGTCGTTTCCGTACAATAATTATAAAGAAATCGAAGTAAAACTCCAGAAATCCTCTGGATTCATGCTTTCTGGGGCCCTAATTGACTGCAGAGGAACCCCCTGCGCCATCTGTGATTTCCAGGTCAATTAAATCTTCACTCCGAGACCTCGTATTACCATCATTTTGGCATAGAAGCGCATACAACAATTTTGTTGCCTTTATCCCGCTCAAATGCGAGTTTATCGATTACCGGAGTGTTCTAAATTGTCGTAAAATTGTCCTGACCCTTTCGATTCTCATATCAGAGCCTTCGATAATTGTATACTGATCGAAATATGAGAGCTCGACGCCATTTTGGTTCTGGTCTGAACTGAGTTAAAAAATTTTGTTGAAAAATACAAATTGTTAATGTATCAGGACAATTCTTAGACGATCAGGAGTGACGTGTCAAAGTTTCGGAGAGTTTGGTCTAATACCCTTAAAAAAAAGTGTTGTATTCGAATCGACTGATTTGAAGGATGTTTCACTTCACCTTAAAAATACGATTCACCTACTCTGTTCTTTACCATAATCGGATTATCCGTAATAAAAATCTGACCGTTTCTGAATGAATTTAATTTAATTTTAAAAACAAATTTGAAAAGAATTGAAATTTCGTGAGTTTCAGGACCTTCCTTATAGTCTTCCTATTCACGTCGTAAAGTTTCAAACTATTCGGTAAACCGAGTAGGGAGAAAAGTTTTATAAACCAAACCTCTTTAACGCCACTTTCACATCACCTTAAGCTCTCCCTTAAGAAAAGTTTCTTTCGCTATCTGCACGTAGCTGGTGTATCTGGTAGATAAAAGAAACTTTTGGGACAACCTAATAGTATAGACATTTTTTATTTTTCCAATTGTCAGA